AAAAAGGTTCAGTCTGAGCAAAAAATTCATAGCTACCATTATAATAATTTTTGAGGCCAGATTGTTTTGATTTTTTTAATGTAGCCTTTAAGCATGTATACTGTTGATCTGTCTATTCGAAGACAAAGTAAGAGCTGATATATGGATTAAACATAAAAAACATGTATAAAAAGAATAAGAGACAGTCATGAGATATTTATAATAAAACATCTGATTGGTTCATTTAATTTCAAAGAAGAGACAAATAAAGTGAAATAAGAGGTTTCTAAAAGTGCTGGATACCATCAATACGTATTGACGGACAGCAGCAGTATGCTATGCGAAAACAAAATATATAGCATATTGTCGCATACATCCATCAGCACTAGGCCATACTAAAAAGACATAGCATATTGCCGCAAATAGCATTATCGCGACAAAGCTTAAAACTTTCTATTATTCAACCATACTGAACTGACCTTGATGTCTTAGTTTGTTTAAATATGAAAGTGGCTTCAATCATTCAAAAAAAAAACTCACGAAATAAAGGCATAAAAAATAGGAAATAAGTTTAACTAATATTTAATGACAACTAAATTTACAATGCAAATACAAATTAATAAAAAACAGAATTGTGTAGAAAGCTAAAACATTACCTTGAACTCAGTTATAGAGTTGAATTCAGTTATAGAGATAATGGGCAGTCCTTTCGTTTCATATCAAATACTGAACAGAAATTATGAACAGAAATTCGATTTTCATAATTTTACAAACATCATGTTTAAGCAGTAAGAGCGTTTGTATATACAAATATGAATAATATAAATATCAAATAAACATACTTGTCTCACAACTACCTCCAATGGTATTGTCAGTGTTTGTATCGTAATATGTGTTAGTACAACTACACCTGCTTCCAATACATTCAGCCCGAGAAGATAAACATGCATTTGGCATTGGACAATTAGAGCCAAGGCCAACCTCTGAAAATATAGAAATGTATAAATTTCATTAGAATAAACTATTTAAATATCATTATAAAGCATAGACGATACAACTTCATACTAAAATACAGTTAAAAGCTACTTTTGAAAACCAACTTCATTATATCTCATAATATATAAATATCATATATCTGTAGACATGAAAACGAACCAAAACAAATTAAATTACTTCTTTTAAAATGAATATAATTTTAAGAGTCAGATGGTCAACTTTATCAAACATGGATGCATAACGTTACTTAAGTCAATCTTATGACATTTTCTTTTAATTCAAATAACTGAAAAAAAGGAAATTACAATTTTTTTTAAATTTACTCTGATCAGAAAGTCTCGTAAAGAATTGGCTGTTTTTTTTTAAAAAATATATGTGTTTTGTTAAAAATACAAATGTAAAATACTACTGCATTATAATTTATATATTTTACAGTATCTGTCATTGACCTATAACGTAATTTTTCATATCAATTACAATTATCATGACACTTACTTAGTATACATGTTCCACCAATGTTATTTAAACCATCACTGTCATAGTATGAACTTGTACACTGACAAGTGTTTCCATCTTGTCCATTACTCTGGCATCCAGCATTTCTATCAGCACATGTTGTTCCAGACTGTGAACATGATACTCCAAGAGAAGCCACTATGCAAGAATCATATGAACATACCTGTATAACTTACTGTATCATACATCTAAAAGTATTTGGAGGTGTCATTCAAATGGGTGTACTTCTATTAAATGTGACAAACTAGTTTCGCGTTAGATCGCATCGGACGAGAAGAAGACTTAGTTTGCTCTTTTCCGTAACATTTTTATGTCAAACCTTTCGCCTGTTATGCATTAAATTCATTCAGTGTAATCAATAATAAATATACAACAATTTCAAAGTGTTCCGTGAACATGACATGTTGTCTTGCCAACCGCTGTATATTTTGTATTGATTGGTTCTCAATATTTCTTAATTATAGCCAAAGATTCAAAACTTAACGGACAACATCCGTATAAGTAATAAAGGTGTAGATGTTAGTGTCAGATAATGAATATAGAAAGTTATGGTTCTTGCAATATGAAACTTCTATCAATGTAAACAATATCTGAATACTTTGAAGAAAAACATTTGAAAAACTTTAAACTTGTGTGCAGGATGACAATTTTTATATAACATGGATCAAAGTGCATGACTATGTAATTAAAAGAAAAGAAAGAAATTAATAAAGGTCATTAATATGCACATCTCCTTTTAGTTAATTGGACACTTGTGCTCCCACATCATGAATGTTGCTGTCAAAGTGGATTATGTACATACTTATGCATATTTTTTAAGCTCAAGTGCTAAAATGATATATGATATAATATTACTGAAATCAATAGGGTTTTCAATCCATTGACTGATAAAACTCTTGTTCTTTATTCGAAAATTATTTCATGCGTTATTGTGACCTTAACCTAATGACTTCAAAACTATTGACTTCAAAACGAGAATTGGTTATATTTTATTTAGCACAAACTTTCTCACAACATCTGTGGACCTTTTGCAAAAGCTTTTTTAGATATTGGTTAACAGCTTATAGTGGTCAAGGCAATGGCAACCTTTACCCGATAAATACAAAAACAAAAAGAAGTTCTACTACTAGCCATAACTAACCTCCGCAGTAAACGTTCTCTAGTAGTTTTTGTGGGTTTTTTTTTGTGTTTTGTTTTGTTTGTTTTTTACAAGCTTAAAGTAGTCAAGGCTATGGTGACCTTGACTTTTGACGTTTTAACCTCGTAATCAAAAAGGGTTATCAAATATCATGAACAACCTCACCGATATATCTCAGTATGCTTCAACTCACATAATTAAGCTCCCTTTGAGGAATCTATTTCCAGTTAGTCCAATACGTTGTGGGGCAAACTTTGTGATCAGGACAATGCTTCCAATATAAACACCTCATCTTGATACTGAAGCTTATGTGAGTGAATATGTGCAAAAGATCACACATACACAATATAGGGATCATAATAATTAAAGAGAAGTGAAACCTGTAAACTCGATTGTTCATACAAGACGAAAACAATTTTTTTTAAATATTACCTTGACAGTTTTTACCAGAGTATCCATTTGGACATGAACAACTATACGCATTTATCAGATTTGCACAAGTACCTCCATTCATACATGGCCTTGGTTCACATTCATCTATATCTAAAATTAAAGAACTTTTCAAGTATTTTAACATACACATAAACCAAGCTTATATTGTCCAAAAAAATAATGAAAGATATAAATTATTCAGAGATGAAGATACTGCATCAATAGTTTTATTAATTACCTAACAATGTTAATGGTCTCCACAGGGAGAAGGCATAATTATATTGGCTAATATTTGGAAATCAAAATTTACTTTCTTTTTAAACTTATGTTTTTCATACCTCCACTTGCATATTCATCATCTATCTTTCTTTGATGTCAAGTTTATGTATCTAATTTACTTAAGTTATCTTATACTCTAAACAAAATTTCAGTGGATTTTATTTACCACCGCATGTGCGAGTACTTTTAAATATTCATAATTGTGTAATGAAGACTTTTTAACATTTGGCCTTTAAGTGTGACCTTGACTTTGGGGTAGCAACCCAAATTGTTGCGCTTTGCATGGTGATCAACGGTTTAAAAGTTATCGAGTGGACATGGAAATGTTACGGACGGACAGACGGACGGACAGACAGACGAATTGGCAGAGGGGGCCATTCTTCTAATCCATTTTCCGCTCAGCGGAAGGAAATTAATACGTATATAACATTTTGAGTACAAATAGAAGTTCAAAGGGAAAGAAATCTTAAAATAAAGATGCTAGAGTTATGAACCTTGTCTTACGTTTTTGTGTGTTATGACAAAGAACAATTACCTCAAGTCTAAAGTAGGAACATTTTATATTAACAACAATGATTTTTTTAAAAAAAATTTCATGTTGAAAATAGTAACTGTTATAATTCTGGAAATACATGAGATAGACTTATAAATTTAATTTCATTACATGATATAGGTGTTGACAACAATTTAAAAAAAATTTGAATTAAGTCTCTGAAGAAATAAAAAAAATGGACAAATAGGGGAACTCTAAGTTTAAAGGGTGATCATTCTCGAACAATTGATGCTAGAGTTATAAACCTTGTCACATTATCATGATATGGAGAATGATTTCAAACTTAAACTTATAGTTGAATAAAATCCATAATGATTATGAAAAATGTCTGAGTAAAGAATAACATTTTTAGGTTCAGGGAGGAATAATTCTGAAAATATGACTTCGAGAATTATGAATATTGTCATTTAATAATTATGCAGTTGATGGTAAGGAACATTATATAAAGATTTGGAGTTTAAACTTGGTACCTTAAAAAGTAAAAAATAACATTTATAATGGGAAATCTAAAGTTTACAAGAATATCATTCTGGAAAATGTTAGTGCTTGAGTTAAGAGCCTATCCACATAATTCATGATGTGTATTATGATAAGGAACATATATTTGAAGTTTGAAGATTATCCTTTATTCAATAAAGATATTTGAGTAAACAATAGCAATACAATGTGATATTGTTGCCTCATGATAGCTAAATGCATTTTGAAGCTATCAATCATTTTAAGTTTGATTTAAATTGCATTTGTAGTACAAGAGAAGTTATGCTAACAAAGCTTTAAAAAATAAAAATCATTAAAATGCCATATCCCTAACAAAAAATGATTAAACCAGAAAATGCCGAGGATAGCACATCTAGACTTGGTACTGATAATTCCTGTAAAGTTTGGATGAAATTGCACTAATTGTTACTGATGATTAGTCAGGACAAGTATTGTATATTGTATATAAGTATGAATCATTTCCATAAATAAATTACAAAGGTAAGAAAAAAGGCGAAATTCAATCATTTGACCTTCAAGATCAACTATCAATGCACAATAATATCAAGAATTTTGACAGTCAAGTATGAACTTTACCTCCTTTGGGTTGCTATACTTAATTTAATTCACTACATGTCAATCTAATTAGCTACTTTTTAATATATAGTAACACAAAACATACCATGGGTTGTCAAGTTATTAATCGGAAACCGTTTTTACCTACAATGTCAATTTGACCTAAAGTAAAATCACTAAGGGCCAATTTCTTTCCAAGATTAATGCACCCACGAATTTGTTGGGCAAACAACCCATGGGTTGTGAAGATATTGATCGGAAATCGTTTTCCTTTTCTTACAAGGTCAATGTGACCTTGACCTTTACTTTTTGACACCAAAACAATAGGGGTCATTTTCAGTTCATGAATTATTCGCATACAAAGTTTGAAGCTATCAATCATTTTAAGTTTGATTTAAATTGCATTTGTAGTACAAGAGAAGTTATGCTAACAAGGCTTTAAAAAATAAAAATCATTAAAATGCCATATCCCTAACAAAAAATGATTAAACCAGAAAATGCCGAGGATAGCACATCTAGACTTGGTACTGATAATTCCTGTAAAGTTTGGATGAAATTGCACCAATCGTTACTGATGATTAGTCAGGACAAGTATTGTATATTGTATATAAGTATGAATCATTTCCATAAATAATTTACAAAGGTAAGAAAAAAGGCGAAATTCAATCATTTGACCTTCAAGATCAACTATCAATGCACAATAATATCAAGAATTTTGACAGTCAAGTATGAACTTTACCTCCTTTGGGTTGTTATACTTAATTTAATTCACTACATGTCAATCTAATTAGCTACATTTTAATGTATATAGTAACACAAAAATACCTATTTGACAGTTATTGCCTGTATATCCAGCAGCACAGCTACATGTATATCCATTTACTACATCTCTACAGGTACCACCATGCTGACAAGGATTGGAAATACATTCATTGATATCTGCAATAGTTATAATTTTTGTTAATTTCTTTGTCATTTTGATTTCGGAAACCATTTTACCTACAATGTCAATATGACCTTGACCTTTGACCCCCTGACCCCAAAATCAAAAGGGGTCATCAACTTACCTTTCAAGGTCAATGTCACCTTGACCTTTAAGCATTTGACCCAAAAATCAAAAGGGTCATTTACTGGGCAAGACTATTGCACCTATGTATTTTAAGGGCCAAGATACCATGGGTTGTCAAGTTATTAATCGGAAACCGTTTTTCCCTACAAGGTCAAATTGACCTAAAGTAAAATAACTAAGGGCCAATTTCTTGCCAAGATTAATGCACCCACGAATTTGTTGGGCAAACAACCCATGGGTTGTGAAGATATTGATCGGAAATCGTTTTTCTTTTTCTTACAAGGTCAATGTGACCTTGACCTTTACTTTTTGACACCAAAATCAATAGGGGTCATTTTCAGGTCATGAATAATTCGCATACAAAGTTTGAAGTTCCTAGGCATAAGCTTCTTTAGGAGGTGGGGGCAAAAGAATATTAGACTATTTTATATTGTAGCTAGATTGGCTTTCTTTTTTTTAGCTTTGGCAGCAATTTTGTGCAGCAAAGCGGAATGTGCCAGCCATGTGCCAACAAGAATTGGTCTTGATTACTCTTGTCAAGTTTATTCAACTTTCCTTCAGCAGTTTGACCGGCCATTTTGTAAAATGTTGGTCAAAATTCACTAGGTGGTTTAGGAAGAGATGTTGTTTAAAGAAATTTTGGATAAATACAAATAAGCGATATACTGCCATTTCAAAAGCTCACCTCTGAGCTTAAAAGTCTTTTTCAATATAGCAAAGATATGATATCTCTGTCACGCAATATTACATCATTACTCATTTCCAACAAACCTTATGTAAATAGACAGCAAACTACGCCAGCACCAACAAAATGTTTGTGTAACAAATATAATTGTTAATTATATACATTTCTTTAATTCAAAACAAAACATACTTGTTTGGCAGTTATTGCCTATATATCCAGCAATACAGCTACATGTATATCTATTTAGTCCATCTATACAGGTACCACCATTGGAACAAGGCCTGGAACTACATTCATTTATATCTGTAATGTATTAAGCATATGTGAAATTTCAGCTGGCAAGGGAAAGAAAGAACAATGATCATTACAGACAAATTAACGTAATGCATTTTATATAATATTGAATTCATGACTTATATGAAAAATGGCCATGATCTTCAAGGTTGTTTGATTGTTTTTTATGTAGTTTTGTCCAAAAGAAAATAATTCATTGATTAATTACAAGAAATTTATTGCCTTTTATAGCAACAATCAGTAAAAACCAAATAGTTTGAATTTCACGGTAAAAGTCATACATGAGTCAATGTTAATATGAGTTTGATTTACCTGGATGTCCTGACATAAAAGATGATGTGTCTTAAATATGTCTGTTCTACTTAAAGGTCTTGTACCTAGGATTGATATGGCCAAGTATGAGGACAATAATTTGGGTAAAATTTAGAAACATATACATGATGTTTGAAGTAGATACCTTAAGAAATTATAGAATTAGAGAAATTATAGAAAACAATACATGTTTTATGAAAACTGTAAGTTTATGGTGTTGGGTGATGATAAGAAACATAAAGTTAAAGTTTAAAGAAGATGCATTAAGAATAAAGAAGTTAAACATAAAACAATAAGCATCTTTAAAAAAGATACTCGGCCGAAGTAAGACTGGTTAACTTGCATGTGTTAGTTATTAGTTTTCCATGAAAAGTCATATAGAAATGTTAGCATAGCTTGCATTACAATAACATAATACTTTCTTGTAGGGTTATAAATCTTGAGAAATGGAACGCATTAAGATGTATGAATTTCTTAAAAAACCTGTCGTGTTTCGGTTTTCTCAATTTCTACCATCACATGTACGCAGTCGGTAAGGCAATTATATTTTAATGCTTCATTAATATGCACAAATATAAAAAATATAAACATTATATTAAATGAACTCATCAATGATAATTCATTTTCTCAGACATTTCTGAGATCTGAATGCAGGAAGTATTGTTGAACAGAACTTAAGTATCTGAGCAATTTAATTAAAAATATAAAAAAACTATCCTGTACATTTTATTTTACAACTATCTTTTATATTCTGATTTCATAATGGCAAAAACCATCCTGTACATTTTTGTTATCTTAGAATGACAAGAACTATCCTTTACAATTTATTTTAGAATGACCAATGAGATTCCCAATAAAATTTAAGGAAGTCAAAACAGACCGGCATTTGGCAAGAACAACAACGTTTTTTATTTTCATAAAAAAATCAAGGAGATTAATTTTAGGTCTATTTGTTGCCATAGCAACAAATATTTTCAAGATTTGGAGAAATGAAAAAGATTTTCACAATATACTGGATATGGGTTCTACCCATATTTCAAGTTCCATTGTAAAATGTTCAGTATTTTTTTTTAGTTTTCACTGGATCCAGATAGACGGACGGAAGTACTTACGATATGTTAACGTGACTCTTCTTTCGATATTTTTACACATAATAGTCACGTCACAAAAGGCCTAAAAAGACACAAGTTGTCTTCCTAACGTATTATATAAAACATCAATTGATCAATTAATGTCGAAAGACCAAAAGTATAAAAAGTTCTACAATCCTTGACCCCAATGAAGCCTTACTGAGGAGAACCCAATGCGCTTACGTGATTTAAAAAAGAAATGTGTCAAATGAGTTAAGGCTGTATGTGGAAAAGCATATTTTTTAGCATCAGTGGCCTTGATGCTTATTAACACCTGTCTCGACTTATTGGGCTTTTGGACATATGGGAGTAGAATATAATTTTTCAAGATTAATATTTAATTCAATGAAGGTCTATACAATTAACGTGTGTGCAACATTGAATGTCATTCAATCACTGTGTGGTTCAAGAATAATTATATTTTAGTTGTGAACAAGAGTCAGAGAATCACTCTTGCCTAAATTTCTTGACAAAATTATGAAAAAGAATCAATTATTCTGGAAATATTTTTCTGTATTAGCATCAAGACAGTTTTTGAAATGTTTAACACATTTGCACCACACAATATGAAAGTGACCATATTGATAAAAATTAAAATTTCTATGCCATTATGGTATAGAGAACACTTTCAAATCTTGAAGAAACAAAGCAGTCTGAAGGACAGCTAAATCCCCTTTCCGTAGTGAACAGTAATGTGTACTTCAGGACCTTTAATAAAACATGACCTTGATGTTGTGCCATGCCTATCATAAGCACATAGTCTCACGATGGTGCTTATGTGTGCCAAGTTATTTGAAATCTGCCATAAGGTCAAAAAGTTATGGAGAACGTATAACCTATATAATTAGGGGTAGCAACCTGGATGTTTATCTCTGTAGATTATGGGGCGGACACAAAAATTTAATGTAGATTTGTTATTGTGTAATGAAGACTTTTTAACATTTGGCCTTTAAGTGTGACCTTGACTTTGGGGTAGCAACCCAAATTGTTGCGCTCTGCATGGTGATCAACGGTTTAAAAGTTATCGAGTGGACATGGAAATGTTACGGACGGACAGACGGACGGACAGACAGACGGACTGGCAGACGGAGGCCATTCTTCTAATCCATTTTCCGGAAGGAAAGGAAGGAAATTAACATTTTGAGTACAAATAGAAGTTCAAAGGGAAAGAAATCTTTAAATAAAGATGCTAGAGTTATGAACCTTGTCTTACGTTTTTGTGTGTTATGACATAGAACAATTACCTCAAGTCTAAAGTAGGAACATTTTATATTAACAACAATGATTTTTTTTTTAAATTTCATGTTGAAAATAGTAACTGGTATTATTCTGGAAATACATGAGATAGACTTATAAATTTAATTTCATTACATGATATAGGTGTTGACAACAATATAAAAAAAAGTTTGAATTAAGTCTCTGAAGAAATAAAAAAATGCACAAATAGGGGAACTCTAAGTTTAAAGGGTGATCATTCTCGAACAATTGATGCTACAGTTATAAACCTTGTCACATTATTATGATATGGAGAATGATTTCAAACTTAAACTTATAGTTGAATAAAATCCATAATGATTATGAAAAAAGTCTGAGTAAAGAATAACATTTTTAGGTTCAGGGAGGAATAATTCTGAAAATATGACTTCGAGAATTATGAATATTGTCATTTAATAATTATGCAGTTGATGATAAGGAACATTATATAAAGATTTGGAGTTTAAACTTGGTACCTTAAAAAGTAAAAAATAACATTTATAATGGGAAATCTAAAGTTTACAAGAAGATCATTCTGGAAAATGTTAGTGCTTGAGTTAAGAGCCTATCCACATAATTCATGATGTGTTTTATGATAAGGAACATATATTTGAAGTTTGAAGATTATCCTTTATTCAATAAAGATATTTATGTAAACAATAGCAATACAATGTGATATTGTTGCCTCATGATAGCTAAATGCATTTTGAAGCTATCAATCATTTTAAGTTTGATTTAAATTGCATTTGTAGTACAAGAGAAGTTATGCTAACAAAGCTTTAAAAATAAAAATCATTAAAATGCCATATCCCTAACAAAAAAAAATGATTAAACCAGAAAATGCCGAGGATAGCACATCTAGACTTGGTACAGATAATTCCTGTAAAGTTTGGATGAAATTGCACCAATTGTTACTGATGATTAGTCAGGACAAGTATTGTATATTGTATATAAGTATGAATCATTTCCATAAATAAATTACAAAGGTAAGAAAAAAAGGCGAAATTCAATCATTTGACCTTCAAGATCAACTATCAATGCACAATAATATCAAGAATTTTGACAGTCAAGTATGAACTTTACCTCCTTTGGGTTGCTATACTTAATTTAATTCACTACATGTCAATCTAATTAGCTACTTTTTAATATATAGTAACACAAAACATACCATGGGTTGTCAAGTTATTAATCGGAAACCGTTTTTACCTACAATGTCAATTTGACCTAAAGTAAAATCACTAAGGGCCAATTTCTTTCCAAGATTAATGCACCCACGAATTTGTTGGGCAAACAACCCATGGGTTGTGAAGATATTGATCGGAATCGTTTTCCTTTTCTTACAAGGTCAATGTGACCTTGACCTTTACTTTTTGACACCAAAACAATAGGGGTCATTTTCAGTTCATGAATTATTCGCATACAAAGTTTGAAGCTATCAATCATTTTAAGTTTGATTTAAATTGCATTTGTAGTACAAGAGAAGTTATGCTAACAAGGCTTTAAAAAATAAAAATCATTAAAATGCCATATCCCTAACAAAAAATGATTAAACCAGAAAATGCCGAGGATAGCACATCTAGACTTGGTACTGATAATTCCTGTAAAGTTTGGATGAAATTGCACCAATCGTTACTGATGATTAGTCAGGACAAGTATTGTATATTGTATATAAGTATGAATCATTTCCATAAATAATTTACAAAGGTAAGAAAAAAGGCGAAATTCAATCATTTGACCTTCAAGATCAACTATCAATGCACAATAATATCAAGAATTTTGACAGTCAAGTATGAACTTTACCTCCTTTGGGTTGTTATACTTAATTTAATTCACTACATGTCAATCTAATTAGCTACATTTTAATGTATATAGTAACACAAAACATACCTATTTGACAGTTATTGCCTGTATATCCAGCAGCACAGCTACATGTATATCCATTTACTACATCTCTACAGGTACCACCATGCTGACAAGGATTGGAAATACATTCATTGATATCTGCAATAGTTATAATTTTTGTTAATTTCTTTGTCATTTTGATTTCGGAAACCATTTTACCTACAATGTCAATATGACCTTGACCTTTGACCCCCTGACCCCAAAATCAAAAGGGGTCATCAACTTACCTTTCAAGGTCAATGTCACCTTGACCTTTAAGCATTTGACCCAAAAATCAAAAGGGGTCATTTACTGGGCAAGACTATTGCACCTATGTATTTTAAGGGCCAAGATACCATGGGTTGTCAAGTTATTAATCGGAAACCGTTTTTCCCTACAAGGTCAAATTGACCTAAAGTAAAATAACTAAGGGCCAATTTCTTGCCAAGATTAATGCACCCACGAATTTGTTGGGCAAACAACCCATGGGTTGTGAAGATATTGATCGGAAATCGTTTTTCTTTTTCTTACAAGGTCAATGTGACCTTGACCTTTACTTTTTGACACCAAAATCAATAGGGGTCATTTTCAGGTCATGAATAATTCGCATACAAAGTTTGAAGTTCCTAGGCCTAAGCTTCTTTAGGAGGTGGGGGCAAAAGAATATTAGACTATTTTATATTGTAGCTAGATTGGCTTTCTTTTTTTTAGCTTTGGCAGCAATTTTGTGCAGCAAAGCGGAATGTGCCAGCCATGTGCCAACAAGAATTGGTCTTGATTACTCTTTTTAAAGTTTATTAAAAAAAAAAAAAAAAAAAAAAAAAAAAAAAAAAAAAAAAAAAAAAAAAAAAAAAAAAAAAAAAAAAAAAAAAAAAAAAAAAAAAAAAAAAAAAAAAAAAAAAAAAAAAAAAAAAAAAAAAAAAAAAAAAAAAAAAAAAAAAAAAAAAAAAAAAAAAAAAAAAAAAAAAAAAAAAAAAAAAAAAAAAAAAAAAAAAAAAAAAAAAAAAAAAAAAAAAAAAAAAAAAAAAAAAAAAAAAAAAAAAAAAAAAAAAAAAAAAAAAAAAAAAAAAAAAAAAAAAAAAAAAAAATTTTTTTTTTTTTTTTTTTTTTTTTTTTTTTTTTTTTTTTTTTTTTTTTTTTTTTTTTTTTTTTTTTTTTTTTTTTTTTTTTTTTTTTTTTTTTTTTTTTTTTTTTTTTTTTTTTTTTTTTTTTTTTTTTTTTTTTTTTTTTTTTTTTTTTTTTTTTTTTTTTTTTTTTTTTTTTTTTTTTTTTTTTTTTTTTTTTTTTTTTTTTTTTTTTTTTTTTTTTTTTTTTTTTTTTTTTTTTTTTTTTTTTTTTTTTTTTTTTTTTTTTTTTTAACAAGAGTCAGAGAATCACTCTTGCCTAAATTTCTTGACAAAATTATGAAAAAGAATCAATTATTCTGGAAATATTTTTCTGTATTAGCATCAAGACAGTTTTTGAAATGTTTAACACATTTGCACCACATAATATGAAAGTGACCATATTTATAAAAATTAAAATTTCTATGCCATTATGGTATAATGAACACTTTCAAATCTTGAAGAAACAAAGCAGTCTGAAGGACAGCAAAATCCCCTTTCCGTAGTGAACAGTAATGTGTACTTCTTGACCTTTAATAAAACATGACCTTGATGTTGTGCCATGCCTATCATAAGCACATAGTCTCACGATGGTGCTTATGTGTGCCAAGTTATTTGAAATCTGCCATAAAGTCAAAAAGTTATGGAGAACGTATAACCTATATAATTAGGGGTAGCAACCTGGATGTTAATCTCTGTAGATTATGGGGCGGACACAAAATTTAATGTAGATTTGTTATTGTGTAATGAAGACTTTTTAACATTTGGCCTTTAAGTGTGACCTTGACTTTGGGGTAGCAACCCAAATTGTTGCGCTCTGCATGGTGATCAACGGTTTAAAAGTTATCGAGTGGACATGGAAATGTTACGGACGGACAGACAAACGGACAGACAGACAGGCGGACTGGCAGACGGAGGCCATTCTTCTAATCCATTTCCGCTCAGCGGAAGGAAATTAATACGTATATAACATTTTGAGTACAAATAGAAGTTCAAAGGGAAATAAATCTTTAAATAAAGATGCTAGAGTTATGAACCTTGTCTTACGTTTTTGTGTGTTATGACAAAGAACAATTACCTCAAGTCTAAAGTAGGAACATTTTATATTAACAACAATGATTTTTTTTTAAATTTCATGTTGAAAATAGTAACTGGTATAATTTTGGAAATACAGGAGATAGACTTATAAATTTAATTTCATTACATGATATAGGTGTTGACAACAATTTAAAAAAAGTTTGAATTAAGTCTCTGATGAAATAAAAAAATGCACAAATAGGGGAACTCTAAGTTTAAAGGGTGATCATTCTCGAACAATTGATGCTAGAGTTATAAACATTGTCACATTATTATGATATGGAGAATGATTTCAAACTTAAACTTATAGTTGAATAAAATCCATAATGATTATGAAAAAAGTCTGAGTAAAGAATAACATTTTTAGGTTCAGGGAGGAATAATTCTGAAAATATGACTTCGAGAATTATGAATATTGTCATTTAATAATTATGCAGTTGATGATAAGGAACATTATAAAAAGATTTGGAGTTTAAACTTGGTACCTTAAAAAGTAAAAAATAACATTTATAATAGGAAATCCAAAGTTTACAAGAAGATCATTCTGGAAAATGTTAGTGCTTGAGTTAAGAGCCTATCCACATAATTCATGATGTGTTTTATGATAAGGAACATATATTTGAAGTTTGAAGATTATCCTTTATTCAATAAAGATATTTGAGTAAACAATAGCAATACAATGTGATATTGTTGCCTCATGATAGCTAAATGTATTTTGAAGCTATCAATCATTTTAAGTTTGATTTAAATTGCATTTGTAGTACAAGAGAATTTATGCTAACAAAGCTTTAAAAAATAAAAATCATTAAAATGCCGTATCCCTGACAAAAAATGATTTAACCAGAAAATGCCGAGGATAGCACATCTAGACTTGGTACTGATTATTCCTGTAAAGTTTGGATGAAATTGCACTAATTATTACTGATGATTAGTCAGGACAAGTATTGTATATTGTATATAAGTATGAATCATTTCCATAAATAAATGACAAAGGTAAGAAAAAAATCGAAATTCAATCATTTGACCTTCAAGATCAACTATCAATGCACAATCATATCAAGAATTTTGGCAGTCAAGTATAAACTTTACCTTTGGGTTGCTATACTTAATTTAATTCACTACATGTCAATCTAATTAGCTACTTTTTAATGTCTATAGTAACACAAAACATACCTATGTGACAGTTATTGCCTGTATATCCAGCAGCACAGCTACATGTATATCCATTTACTTCATCTCTACAGGTACCACCATGCTGACAAGGATTGGAAATACATTCATTGATATCTGCAATATTTATATTTTTTGTTAATTTCTTTGTAATTTTGATTTCGGAAACCATTTTACCTACAATGTCAATATGACCTTGACCTTTGACCCCCTAACCCCAAAATCATTAGGGGTCATCAACTTACCTTTCAAGGTCAATGTCACCTTGACCTTTAAGCATTTGACCCAAAAATCAAAAGGGGTCATTTACTGGGCAAGACTATTGCACCTATGCATTTTAAGGGCCAAGATACCATGGGTTGTCAAGTTATTAATCGGAAACCGTTTTTACATACAATGTCAATTTGACCTAAAGTAAAATCACTAAGGGCCAATTTCTTGCCAAGATTAATGCATCCACGAATTTGTTGGGCAAACAACCCATGGGTTGTGAAGATATTGATCGGAAATCGTTTTTCTTTTTCTTACAAGGTCAATGTGACCTTGACCTTTACTTTTTCACAACAAAATCAATAGGGGTCATTTTCAGGTCATGAATAATCCGCATACAAAGTTTGAAGTTCCTAGACTTAAGCTTCTTTAGGGGGTGGGGGCAAAAGAATATTAGACTATTTTTTAGCTTTGGCAGCAATTTTGTGCAGCAAAGCGGAATGTGCCAGCCATATGCCAACAAGAATTGGTCTTGATTACTCATGGCAAGTTTAATCAACTTTCCTTCAGCAGTTTGACCGGCCATTTTGTAAAATTTTGGTCAAAATTCACTAGGTGGTTTAGGAAGAGATGTTGTTTAAAGAAATTTTGGATAAATACAAATAAGCGATATACTGCCATTTCAAAAGCTCACCTCTGAGCTTAAAAGTCTTTTTCAATATAGCAAAGATATGATATCTCTGTCACGCAATATTACATCATTACTCATTTCCAACAAACCTTATGTAAATAGACAGCACACTACGCCAGCACAAACAAAATATTTGTGTAACAAATATAATTGTTAATTATATACATTTCTTTAATTCAAAACAAAACATACTTGTTTGGCAGTTATTGCCTATATATCCAGCAACACAGCTACATGTATATCTATTTAGTCCATCTATACAGGTACCACCATTGGAACAAGGACTGGAACTACATTCATTTATATCTGTAATGTATTAAGCATATGTGAAATTTCAGCTGGCAAGGGAAAGAAAGAAAAATGATTATTACAGACAAATTTACGTATTGCAGTTTATATAATATTGCATTAATGACTTATATGAAAAATGGCCATGATCTTCAAGGTTGTTTGATTGTGTTTTATGTTGTTTTCTCCAAAAGAAAATAATCCATTGATTAATTACAAGAAATTTATTGCCTTTTATAGCAACAATCAGTAAAAACATAAAAGTTTGACTTTCTAGGTAAAAGTCATACATGAGTCAAGGTTAATATGAGTTTGATTTACCTGGATGTCCTGACATAAAAGATGATGTGTCTTAAAATGTCTGTTCTACTTAAAGGTCTTGTCCCAAGGATTGATATGACCAAGTATGAGGACAATAATTTGAGTAAAATTTAGGAACATATGCATGATGTTTAAAGTAGATACCTTAAAAAATTATAGAATTAAAGAAATTATAGAAAACAATACATGTTTTATGAAAACTGTAAGTTTATGGTGTTGGGTGATGATAAGAAACATAAATATAAAGTTTAAAGAAGATGCAT